AAAAAAAAAAAAAAAAAAATTAATCTTCCAAACTTCGATACGTCCCACTTCATCAAACAATCTAACTCTCCCAAAATTCTCGAACGAGACCCCTCCTAGCTGTATCCCCAAAATCTCAAACGAAATTCCTCTCCACTAGTCGTATTCCCAATTTTAACTATACTATCTAAAATGTTGCTCAGTTACATGGATTAATTGTCGAATACGTGCTGCTCCCTAATATTCCCGAATTGAATAAGTGCCAAAAATTATGCAATTTGGACTGTAAAAGTGAATTTAGAAACAGTTTAGAAAGTGTAATTCGTGATAAGTGAAACTAAGAGATGATTTGCGAAAAAAGAACATTTCCTGCTGGCAAAAAAACTCCTCACAATCCTACCTCCCCCAGTGCCCAGCGTAGAACCCTCACCGTTCGTCTCACGTTACGATATGTTCAGACCTTCAACGCTTTTCACACACGCGCAGAGAAAATTGTATGTTGTTTTATAATTTCCCGGTAGAGACTACTCATGATTTCAAGCTCCAATAGCGAATTAAGTTGTGTATTTTAAATTCAAAACATCCCCTGATAGTATTCTTTGATCACCAAATTTTAGTCAGTATCCCCGTATCCCTCCGCTGCCAAATTCGTCACCATGCATCGTATCGAAAACCAACTATTAGGCCTCTTTTTTTCGATTCATTTCATGCTCATTCTTATCCTTTACAAGAAAGACACATTTTGAATTTCAGGAAAACCCGTATGACGACGTTACAAACTGGCAACCCGCAAGTTAAACCGGTAGAAGCCCTTACCTCCTAGCTCAGCCGAACAAAGTGCGACATGTCTTTGTCTTTTTTTAAAGTTTTCAGAATTTGTTCCCCTGCCGTATGTCAACGCCCTCACACCACTATAGGGGGATCCGGATCGGAAATTTGTTGATGTTAGCTTGTGTACTTACTCGTGAAAAATGTAGCCTGTCACTGATCGCAAAATAGGCCTTTCGTTTGAAATCTTTTGCAACCTTCAGTACGCGATTTCGCCAATAATTTGAACCTGAAAGTAAAAAATGAATGAATTCGTGATCAATAATTATGAAAATCTCCATTCTATTGCTTTTTTTAGTGCTATCACAAAAACTGTTGCCCTTTCCACAGTTGCTGGAAATGAAGCTAAACTACCGGGCAAACAGTATGCTGATGAATCTGATGTTTGATGCCTAACTGACACTCTTCGTCATTTATGTTTTTCGAGCGAATACCATGCAAAAAGTGCATAAAATGGGGAGAAATTTACGAAACAGTGGTTACAAAGTGTAAAATAATCGTCCAAAAACCGCAAAAACCTACCTTTTGGATCCAATTCATAGTCAATTTTGGCATAAACTACAATCATTGGAAGCCTGTCGAAATGATCAAGGTTATCCTGGGTCCGTACTCCAACAAGTCCATCCCTTAAAAATTTACGCATAAAATCAATTATTTCGATTGTTTCATGCCTTCACTGAATTTTTATTTGCGAGAATTCTTTGATGACATGAAAATTTTCTTAAAATACATCACAGATAGCACCAATCACTTAATTTCCCTCAAGTTCTTGTAAATGCCTCTAAGAAGACAAAAATCTGCCTTTGCGGATGAAAAACCCCAGGAAATAAGACGATTTTTGAGGTCTCGAAACAAACCACATCCAATTCGCGCATTAAACTTTTACAGGTGTTTCCCACCCTACACGCTGAACACTGCCGACATGTGCAAATCCATCGATAAAGAGCGAAGGGCTGAGTGAAATACAGAGACAGCCACTACCTAATTTTTTCTAATCTATCTTAATATAACATACGTGTCGTGCAGAAGAAATTCCTTAATTTTGTCCGTGTCGTAGTTACCATCATATTTGAATCCATGCGGCTCAAAAACGTTCTTCAACTTCTTTGGCGGATATGCAACAATATCACTGCAATTATAATCTATGATCAGCTATCCGTGTCAGAGTTACTAAGAGGATCACGCATTCTCCTATCTTACTGATACGTTATCAACTTTTCCAAATGACGGATTGAGGGCTGCACTGACGATTCCCAACCCTAATCCAAACCGAATATTGTCTGTGTTTGCAGCTTAGGGATGAAACACAGACAGCCAAATTTACATTCAGCCTTCACACAGGTCCTCATTACATCTCCTGAACACTTTTTCACAACATATGCTGTTCCACTATCTCTTTTCACTTCTTGTTTTCTTGCTCTTTCCTTCCATTTCATATAGCAATAGCATTATCAACAATAAGAACATTCACTGTTTTGCAGCTTGATATGTGCTTGAAAGCGGGTAAGTTATTGCTAGGGTCGGTGACGCTGCATTCTGAGAGGGTCCCGAACATGGGGTTTAGGCGCGTATGGGGAAAGACCTTAAAACGGGGGGATGACACATGGGGTAGGAACATATATCCAAAGTTTCAGCCTCCCAGCTTTCTTGGTTGCTGAGA